TACTGTTCATACTATACACATGCGACAGTCAAAATCGATTTATAAGGAACTGATTTCTTTTGGGAAAATAATTCGAGAATTTTAAAGAATTCGAATGGAACTCATATGCAGAATATATATTATTATTATTATTCAAATATGTTACTTCTGAAAAGTTATTTACATTGCCAATCAGTAAAACAAGGGAGATTAACTAAAAAATAAATAAAATTAAGTTAAATAAAAACCCGTCAAGAAAGTCAATAATGACACGTTATTTATATAAATAATATTGTAATATATTAATGGTTATTAAAATCTCAAACAGCGAAATCTCATAACAGATTAAAATCGTATAAAGTAATAAGATATATAAGTAATAACAATATAAAGTAAGATCGTAGTGCTTTTCAGAAAATTTTGTTCCTTGATTATCTAGAATAAAATTATTATAAATGTCAAATATAAATAACATTTTTTAATTACGTTGATACGATAATTTAATATTACATCAAATTTGTTAAATTTTTAATATAGGTCTAAGCATACTTTAAATACTATGTTCTTATGAAAATTTAGCAATATAGTTTTAATTTATAGGAAAACTAAGAATATATTTCTTATAAACAAACAGTAGGAAATAAAAAAATAGACTACAAGATATATATATATATATATATATACTAATTCTAAGCTAAAAATTCTAGCTTCGTATTATTTCTGCAGATTTTTAGTACTAAGATTCTATACTTTTTGGCCGGCGATGCCAAATTGCAATTCGTTCTAGACTGCATTTGAAGAAGTAAACTTCGGCTGCAAGATAAGGTGTATTAGTAAGTTTTGTTTGTTATTAATAGTATGCAGTCTAGAACGAATTGCAATTTGGCATCGCCGGCCAAAAAGTATAGAACCTTAGTACCAAAAATCTGCAGAAATAATATGAAGCTAGAATTTTTGATAGAATGCAGAACTCTTAACCTCTTCCACATGTCAATATGGAGCGTACGTTTACCCCATGGATGCGCCTCGTTTATCCCTAAACTTAGAACAATTTGTTTACGTAAGGCAATCCGCAATGTAAGACGGAGAAAGTTTATCCTGCAGAAAGACCTAATCGAGCTAGAGAATGAATTATATGACAGCGACTCTAAGATCTTAAAAGAAGTTAACGCACGAGTAATAACATTAGCTGCGCAGGTGACAGAAAGATGTAAGAAGAGATACATGAACAAAATGACATGGATCTTAAAACATCAAGAAGATCGCTTTAAAGAATTGATCACCCCGAGGATTATTTGCTGGGACAACATCGTTTTGCCTATATTCGTAAAAGAAGCATGTAAATACGGCCCTAAATATGCCCCACTACCTTTAATCAAACAAGACAGACTCATACCAAATATTGTGCAAGCGTTAGAGGGCCTCAGCGAAACTAAGAAAGAAATGTTTAGATGGGAAGTCGCACTGAAAATCAAGCATGGAAAACGTAATAAGAGACAGAGATCCTATATGGCCGTATATTAGAAAAACCCAGAACTGGCTTAAAGACAATAACATAGTGCTCACTAGGACGGACAAGTCAAAGGATATGGTTGTTATGAAGAGAACCACATACGACCACATTCTTTCTGCGTACATTAAAGATACCAGCTGTACGATTGCACCCCCAACACCATGGGAAAACTGCAAGCAAGAGTCAAGAGGTTCGCCACCACTCCTTTAGCCAAAGAACTAGGCATCAAGAATGTAATTGTGCAATCCCCGTCGACTCCAAAGGTTTTTGGATTTGCTAAAATCCATAAAAAGAACAAAGATATAAGACCAGTCGTCGATAAAGCATACTCTCCTACAATATTACTAGAAAAATGGGTACACAATTTTGTTCGGCAACATACCCCTAACAATCCGTACAGCATCAAGCAACTGTTAGAGCAGCGTTTCTCAAAGTGGGCGATAACGCCCCCTTGTGGGCGCTGGAGGCTTTCAGGGGGGCAGTAGAAGGCTCAAAGAGAATTGGGGGGCGTTAAGGAAATCTAGAGGGGCGATGGCAATCAAATTTTATATATAAAAATATGACGGAATATATATAAAATGTTGACATTTTATTTATTTTTTATTTTTTATTGAAGGTCACAACTTGAATATTTCTAACACGTTGACTTATATTTTAGCTGAATGCACTTATTATAGCATGAATGAACTTATTATAGTAATATTATTGCATAAATATGCTAAAAATGAAATAAAAATGTTTAATTAATGCTTTTTTTTCTTAATTACTTTTTTCCTGATAATTTTAAGTTGACAAAACACCACCTGGACAAAAATATGTGAAACAGACGATAAACAAGACGATTTAAACAACGCGAAGTTAATTAAGTTAAACATATTTTAAATTAAATTTAATGCGATGGGTGAGCCTGCTTATTTTGACACAATAAATTAAACCTGGGTTTAATATCAGTCAGTGCGGGCCTCTTAGCGATTTCTATGTTGCAAAGACAGTCCGAGAGCGCTACTTTGTTTTGATGTTGGTCATTACTGAAAATGACATTTCACATAAATAAGTAGTTGCAATTGGTAAGAGAACTGCCATCGCTTATTCATAATTCAGAGAGTAGTGGATACTCTGCTTTCACACTAAGCTAAAAACAATCTACTATTTCTAAACATGAATCCGTAGTAAATTTATAAAATATCTGAAAAAATTGAATGTGTCATCAATTTTTCTGCGACCCCCAAATATTTTTTACGACCCGCACTTTGAGAATCACTGAATTATTCAACCCATTACTGACAGAGAAGGGAGTTTTTGAAAACAAAGTAATAAAAAATTAGCAGTTTATTTATTATACTTCACAGTAGGGGACACGCAGAGTCTATTACTTTCGCGGGAGAAAATAAACAGAGCTTTACTACCCTCAATTTGAAAAATAATATGATTCTGTGAAATTTAACGAATCTGATTTCAATAAGACAAAGTTGAAATTATTTATATCGAGTTGCTATTTGAGAAGTTTAGTTTTTGCATTTACAGATTAAATTTCAGAAAATAGAAATAAAAATCTCAGGTTTTACCCAATCTATATAAAGGCAGTGATTATTTATTTTATTTTCATTAGCATTTTAGCGCGTATCGCAGCATCATAACGGTAGCAGGTTTTCAAGCGAATATTTTACTCACGTCTAAACTATGTCGGAAACAAAGAAGAAGAGACGACAGTACAGTGTGGAATATATTAAATATGGGTTTATCGAAAATCCTACAAATCCGTCATCGCCAATGTGCCTTATTTGCCAAAAAACGTTTTCGAACGAAGCGATGAAGCCATCTAGGCTACAAGATCATTTTAATAAAGTGCACCCGGATAAGAAAGGCAAAAATGTGACCTATTTTCAAGACCTGGAAAAGAAGTACACAGTTCAGCCAACTGTATCGAAACTTTTTTCAGCAGCTTATAAAGAGCAAGATGACGGACTTCGTGCTTCGTACAATATCTCACTGTTAATTGCTAAAATTGGCAAACCACATACTATAGGAGAGGATTTAATTTTACCGGCAGTAAAAGAAGTATTAACTACTGTGCTCCATAAACCAGCGGCAGATATTATCCGAAAAATTCCTTTAAGCAATAGTTCTGTGCAAAGACGAATTGATGAGATGGCTAAAAACATTGAAGAATCGTTGTGCAATCATCTTAAGACTTGTCAATTTTCAATTCAGTTGGATGAGTCCACGTTATCAACTAATGAAGCATTGTTATTGTCATACGTGAGGTTTGTCAAAGATGAGAAAATGTGTCAAGAACTATTATTTGCTAAAAATTTAGAAACAATTAGACACAACAATTAGACACAACGGAACAACAGAATAAACTGGACATAAGAAACACAACACACTTCGGGTGTCATTGTCTCCTATTACCCCCATAGGGAACCGTCTCGTTGCAATGAAGAAAGGGAGAAACCATATTTAATACACTGGAAAAGTTTTTTGACGAAAAGGAAATTCCTTTCAATAATATTATGTCAGCTGCTACAGATGGCGCACCGGCTATGACTGGGCGTTATAAAGGCTTCATAGCATACTTAAAAAATAAAGTTCCAGACGTGCTTGCTGTACATTGCGTCATTCATCGCCAGCATTTGGTTGCGAGAAATCTGAGTGAACGCTTGCATACATCACTACAATATGTTATCAGAGCAGTTAATAAAATCAGAAGCAGCTCACTAAATGACAGATTATTTAGTCAGCTTTGCATTGCCAATGATGAAGAATTCAACCACTTGCTGCTTTACACAGAAGTGCGCTGGCTATCAAAAGGTACTTGTCTGACTCGATTTTACAATCTGTTTGACTCTGTGTTAGAGTTCCTAGAAAACAAAGATACAGAATTGCGCAGCAACCTCATCACATCAAAGAATGATATTGCGTACTTGACAGACCTGTATAAATTGTTTAATGATATGAATCTCCAGCTTCAAGGCGACGACTTAAACTTAATTAAAACAAAAAGTATCATTGCTGCTTTCGTAGCCAAACTGCTACTATACAAAAGTAATATCGGCAGACGTGAATTTAATAACTTCCACAATTTATCAGCAGTATCCTTCAGTAACAATGACTTGCTCATTTACTGTCAGCACTTGGAGAACCTCCACGATAATTTTAAGGAACGATTCCAGGATATTTTAAACATGGACATACCAGACTGGGTGTTGGATCCTTTTTCAAATGTCAACACAGCAGGATCATCCCAGTTAGAAGAACAACTTATAGAAATGACAACAAACGAAGAACTAAAAATTAAATTCAAGAATGGCTACCAAGAATTCTGGCTGCAGAAGCGAATCTCCCAACTATATCCTGCGTTATGGTCGGTTGTTCAACGATTTCTGATAGCATTTCCATCGTCGTATTTGTGTGAACGTGGATTTAGTGCTGTAGCAACGTTGATAACTAAAAACAGAAATCGGCTGCAAGTTACTGAACGCGGCGACTTACGGCTGTTTTTGAGTGAATTCGAGCCTGATATTAAAAAACTCGTCGAAATGCATCAGATTCATTCTTCACATTAGATAAGTTTTAAATTCAAAGCCTTCTTTTAATGTTAATAAAAATACTTCTAAATATGATTAAGTATGAGTTTTATTTCCTCTCATTGAAACATTCTTTGATCTCAGAAATAGGATATGGATCACTCCCTGTCTATACTATCCATATAATAATGCATGTTTAAACATTATATTTGCAACAACTGTTTTTAAGATATGCAACAGATGGTAATGTAAAAAGATAAGTTAAAAAATATGGGGGCACTAGATTTTTTTTTAATCTCAAAGTGGGCGCTGGTCGAAATAAGTTTGAGAACCTGTGTGTTAGAGGTTTTAAACAAAATGGCTGATATTAACTCGAAGGAAGTTAAATATTTGACAGTGTTAGACTACAAAGCCTTATATCCATCTGTTAAACTGGAACCATGTTTTTGTCATCTAAGGCAGTGGTCCCCAACCCCCGGGCCGCGGACCGGTACCGGTCCGTGGATCAAACGGTACCGGGCCGCCCAAGGAACATTAAATTATTTCCATTTTATTTACTATGGTGTATTTCCTCGGGTTTGTGCGACTTTTAATGAACGACGGAACAACAGAATAAACTGGACATAAGAAACACAACACACTTCGGGTGTCATTGTCTCCTATTACCCCCATAGGGAACCGTCTCGTTGCAATGAAACAAGCTCAGGGTTCTCATTGATTTAGCGTTCTAGTGAGTTAAAATGTTAAATCACATTATATTCATTTTTTGGTGTAACTGTATTTTATGTTGAAGGCATGTTTAAATACAATTAAATTAAAATTATTAAATTAAATCAATCTAAAATGTAAACAATCAACGTCCCCCCTCAGTGGGCCGCGGTAAAATTATCAAACTTTGACCGGTCCGCGGCGATAAAAAGGTTGGGGACCGCTGATCTAAGGGATATACTACTTAGCAAGATCCCTTCTCCACGAAGGAAAAGAAAATACATCTTAGAATTGGCGCACCTTACCATTTTCTCTGCGCTATTTAGTTTCAAAGGTGTTACCTACACACAACAAAAAGGGGTAGCTATGGGTAACCCTCTTTCAGGTACAGTACGCTACGTGAAATGATACTAGCAACGCTAGAAAACGCACTGTTGCCGAAGTATGAGGCGCAAATGATAATGTATGTTCGATACGTAGACGATGTACTTATATTCTGGAACGCTAAACCCAACATACAGAGTTTTATAAAGGATATAAATGATAATAGATTCGGTCTTGAGTTAGAGCAAGAAAAAGATAAGACCATACATTTCTTAGATCTATATATGTTACTGTGAATGACCGATATCCGGCGAATGTCAACATTCTCCGGTGTATGTCAGCATTCACACAGTCGTTTCGTGTATGTACGAAATATTTGCTAAATATCATCATTTCTCACACCGGCGACAACCGTCGTTCGTCGAACGATTGGAAAAGCGCGGGAAAGCCGTGCGCCAGACGATTTTTATCCCGACATTCACCATCTGTGCTGAATGTCGGGATAAAAATCGTCTGGTGCACGGTTTTCCCGCGCTTTTCCAATCGTTCGACGAACGACGGTTGTTGCCATAGGAACGGCAATCGGACCACTTTTGAAGACTGTACCGCTGATTGGTTGAGAGACATCACACCATCGGCGGACGTCTCGTAGAGCTGCTAAGTGCTGATTGGTGGAATCCAATTCTGCTTCAATCCTATAAAAGGATTGAGTTGTGGCGGGAAGTTCAGTTCACTGTGGACTCGGAAAGTGGACTCACGTTTGGTCTTAGTTCGTCTAAGCTGGTCCCGAAGCTTGTCTCGTCTCGTTGGACTGTAAATGACTTTAGAGTTAGTTCGTCGCAAGGTGTCTTTTCGACAGACCTGTTGTAGTGGATAAATGTGTTGAACTTTGTTAACATCTGAAGTTTTGTAAATGTCTGTTTTGTGAACTTTGTAACTGTACATGCGTTTATTTTCAATATATATATATATCGTTTTGAATTTAACTGACGTATGTGTGGTGTTTTGAACTTTACTGTGAATGTTGAACAAAAATATTTTTATTACATTAAGACAAAAAATGCAATTTTTTAATACGTCAAAATAGGATAAAGCTTAAGTAATGGGACATGTAAATAAACTTGAATCTAAAATGAACAGTACGTTCTAAATAATTAAAGAAAATAATACAATAATAAACTTACACATAAATTATGTGATTGACGTTGTACAATCTTATTTATTGCAATAACTTAAATTGTTATGGCACTTTGAGTCCCTTGCTTTTACAACTGCACTTATTCGTGGAACACTTCTTTTTGCAATGACAGCGTGTACAGTAGACCCCCTATAACACTGTACATAATTCCGTATTATATGAATTCCATGTTGTACGAGTCACTTAGATTTTACAAATACGTGTGTCGGGCTGCGAACGGCTCACGTATTTGTAAAATCTAAGTGACTCGTACAACATAGAATTCATATAACACTGAAATATCTACAGTGTTATACGGGGGCTAAATATAGCCTTACCTGCAAAGCATATGCGAAGCAGGGTTAATTAAAAGAGGAGTACCTCAAGCCAGTAGCATTTAATGCTACAGGTCAGAGGGAGTGCTCCACTAAATGTAAAAAAAAAAAAATGTATAGCGTTACCCTCTACTTTTTCGATTTAGCTGTAGCTGCTTCTCTCAGCGATATTTCTTGAAAAGGAATCTCATCTATGAAAAGTAACTTTTCTTTACAAATTACGAACTGATTACGTTATTACGTGATTACGAACTGATCTGTTAATGGTGTCTTTTATTCGGATACTGCCGACGCCTTACCGACGACCCCTCTCATCCTCCGCCACTCGACCTGATTAACCGATCCCCACCTCACGGGATCAAAAGAACAAAAACTCCATCCAGTGACAAAATAGGCGATATCCACCAAACTGTTGCCGGGAAAAGAGATACGACCCTGTCCTAACTCCGACTACCCACAAAGGATTTGGCGACAGACTGTCGCCTCTCTTTCGACATCGGCTTTTCGGGTGCCGTTTCGACTTCCACCAAAGCTTATCTGTGCTTGTCGACATACACCGGCGATTGTTCGAATGTATAATAATATAACCAAATATTCGGTCTTTCACCGACGTATTTTGTATGTGTCGACATTTACCGGAGAATATCGACATTCTCTAATTTCGGTCTTTCATAGTAACATATATACAAATTAACAGCTCAGGAGGGTTCACTACGAAAGTCTACAGAAAGCCCTCATATAACCCTATATTTATTCCTTGGATCTCTTACGATCCTCCAGCATATAAAATGGCAGCGTTCCGAGCCTTAATCGCAAGAGCTTATTCGCATTGTAGCAATACAAAAGATATAGTCTACTGTATATATATAATTCAGTTCATCCGTTCTAACTTAGCCAGAAAGTACGGGATTAACGTTAATGCTATTTCAGCAAGAGCATAAAGCGCCTTAAGAGAAATTTACCTAATAATGAAGGAATTACTGTATAACGATGGATTATAACGCATCGCCGACTAATATCTTTCGACGCATCGGAAACGCCAAGAACAAAAGAATCCTATATAAAAGAACCCCCACCACTTACCAGCTATTGCAATTTGATAAGGATGAAGTGGACAGAAACACACTCCCCGGTGTCTATAAAATCCCAGTTACGGACTCACGGCGGCGTAATAAGTTAATGTATATAGGAGCCACAGGAAGATGTATGAAGGACAGGTTAGCAGAACACCAAGGAAATATAAGAAAGGAACAACCGTGCACGGTGCTGGTCACATACGTTTTAGCGGACCCGCAAGACGTCAGAGCCGAATGGGACCAAGCAAGACTACCTGCAGTAGTCTTGCTTGGTCCCATTCGGCTCTGACAGTTCGAGACCGTAAACACCGACATTACGCGGAAGCCTGGCAGATTTGTAAAGCAAATCATAAAGGCCTCGCAATCAACTTTCGAGAATCAACAAAAATATGGGCAGCATGATCCTCAAGCTTAATATAAAGCCTTAATAATCGAAGATTACTATGATACTATGCATCTTTATATTCTAAGCTATGTATTTATCCGCGTTGATCGGAGGTGGTAACTCTATGTAATTATGATTTTTACATATTTATATAATCTTTTGGATTGTTTATACTTCCGTTGCAATGTTAGAACTGACGTCATTAATTGCAACGATTATAGTCTAGTTCAAAAACATTCGAAAAGCTTGTTCGTTTGTACTAAGCGTTCGATTTTTACAGTTTTTTTAATCTTTTATTTGATTTCCTTTTCTTGAGAAAGGTCATTTAACATGACCGAAAACGTTTGAAGTAATAAACTTCGGCTGCAAGATAAGGTGTAGTAGTAAGTTTTGTTTGAAGATAGAAATATATAACGGTAAAGTAAACAATAATTGCTTAAATGGAAAAGACGCAAACGCTCTCTCCCAACGGCCTGGAAATGCGTAATAGAAACAGAAATGAGAGTTAAAAACCCGTAAAAAGGGTTAATGTTTAGGGTCGTAGACTGTCATGGCGGCTATTCCTGTTTTAGCCTCGAAACCAGACCGCTTTGGAGACGACGTGTCACGTGACGACGCGAGCGAACAGGGGCGGCTGCTGCGCCGCGGCAGCGCTTGCGGCTCACCGCTGATTCCAGCAAACGAAAGGAAACAGTGGGGACGCACGTTCTAACCTAACCTAACCTATTCTAATAATATAATTGGTAATAATTATGATAATTTATCAGAATAGGTTAGGTTAGGTTAGAACGTGCGTCCCCACTGTTTCCTTTTCTTTTTGCGGAATCAGAGATGAGCCGCCATGAGTCTACGTATATGGACGTTAACCCGCGCGTCGGTTTTCCCCGTTTATCGCGGCGCAGGAGCGGCCGCCGTTCGCTCGCGTCGTCACGTGACATGTCGTCTCCAAAGCGGTCTGGTTTCGAGGCTAAAACAGGAAGAGCCGCCATGACAGTCTACGACCCTAAACATTAACCGTAAAAAGATATAGCTGTTATGCTTTAACTAGTTTAATGTATTTTCGATATATAATGTTAAGTTTTACATTTGTTTGGTTATATAATGTATTAGTAAGTTGTTTGTTTAAATTAATATTTAACGGTTTAATGTAATAATTTTTTAAAATGTTCGAAAACTTTAAATTTCACGCGTATTCGAAAGCTTTACGTTCGTTTGTGGAACGATAATTTCCTGAGGATGGCCTATAAAAATAGCCTGAAAGCGGTTGAATATTAAACTGCAGTAAGCTCAGCAAGTGTTCTGGTGTTTAATTTTAGTTGTTAGTTGTAATTTAATAGAAATATTTGCTTTATTATTAAATTTCAACTTTATTATTATTTTTTTGTTTCCAAATTTCATTTAAATGCTGACAAATAACAGAGTTGGATTAATGCTTTTTCTAAGTGCTGAGTATTACTTCTGTGCCTCGGAAAATTATGGTAATACGTCAGGTAAAAGAAAAAATAATGATAAATGTCTTACAAAGTGAGATAGAAGTTAACTGAAAAAACTTTGTATAATTTTAGTAATTGAACGCAGGATGATTGGAGGAAGGGATGCAGAAAAAGGAGAATTTATAGGTGTAAACATTTCAGCTCTTGCAACTGTACTTAAAAGAAATGTTACTACCATTTAGCAATATTCAATAAAGAAACTTTGAATGGTGCTTTTTCTTTAATAACAACAAAGACGTTAATAGGAGCAGCGCACGTTGTAGCAAAGTATGTTTGTTTTAATTTTTATTAGAAATTTTTCGTTGGAATATTATTTGATAGAACTACAGATTCAAAAGTCAGTTGGGCCGACGTAGCCTCGCGTCATTAGATGTCACGATAGGAATCATCGCTGAAATTGCTATTTAAATTAGATTTCGATACGCGCCGCAGTCGAATCTATATTAAATCAATTAATAAACACCTGTTTAAATGACATTTATATAATAGAAAACACGAAACTTTGGTTGCGATTGAATATACTTAAATATTAAATCACAGAAATTTATTAATATAACTAACTTATGCTAATAAGTAGTAAGAATAAACAGAATGTATAATATGAACCAAATTATATGTAAATGTTAACCGTATACGTATAGTATTATTATATGAGATGTACAATCATGTTTTGGTTAAGAGAATATCATGAAAATTTCTGATGTTGAGTAATTGTACAACAGACTTTTATCCATATTCTTCTGTCCGATGTTCGTACTGATACTAACCTTGATATGAAAAAGTTACTAAGCAATGATTTCAAACCGGTAAAATTACCCGCTTCCTATATTATACCTTTGCATTCGTTTACCTTTCATTCATCAACCATTAAATAGGATATAGATTTATAAGCAAATTTAGAAAGGAGCTGGACTTACCTGCGCTATTCTTAGTGGCTTGACTCGAAAAAAAGCCACAACTTTTCTACAACCTTACAGATTTTTTACGCAGGTTGTAAAAAATTCACGTCATACTGTTTTCTTTCTGCACCCCTCAAGATATTAGTGAATCCTCTATTCTATGCATTTACTACAAAATGTAAATATGTTTAAATTAAGCTGTTTACTAATAAAGTTTATTTGTAATTTCTTTAATTCAGCCTGCGGTTTCCATTTTCTATTGACTGTGTAACAATCAAATCCGCCGCTTAACGAATATTTAAGCAATAAACTAATTGGCTGTAATAAATTATAATTGTATCATGAGATAACTTTTTTGAACAATTAACACATGTATTTTCATTATTTCAGTAGCAACTAATTCGAATATATGAAATACTTTCCAACGGCTTTACCGAAGCTTTAGAAATGTATTTTGCTTAGTCACTATATGTAAAATTCCCTCAAAAATTAAATATTTCGGCAACGCGTTGACGTAATAAGAATTTTTTTAAATGATCTGTGAAAGATATAATTTATTTTACTATCATTTCCACTGATCATTCATAGAAAATAAAGGTAGAAAGACTTACCAACTTGTTTTTAAAGTAAGCTATATATAAAACCATATATTTTTATCATTAATTAATGTTTACTCGAGGAAGCGAATACTGTACTATCAGAAATTATTTTATTTAAATATAATTATTTTACTTTTGTAGTTTTAAAATTCTACACAAACCAGTACACGTGTTAAAAGGTCTTCCTTCTGTTTTTTACAATACTCTGTTTGTATGTAAATGCAGAGAAGAATGGAAATAAATCAGGTAAGTTGAAAACTAATTTATTGGTTATAGTGATTAATTATAACAATTTCGTTATTTTTATGAAAATTATGAAAAGAATGATTGGTGGATTTCCGATTATCCATTTATGGTGAACCAAATACCAAACATTTTAATTTATATCGCTTGAAGTAAAAGTAATAATGTTTAATTTTTAGGTGGCCCTTTTCCTTAACCAAAATTCAAGTAACATGAATATTATGTTTATTGGAACTTTCACATTAATTACAACAAGAACTGTGTTAGAAGCTGCTCACGTAACAAATTCGTAAGTTAATACGTTACCCTGACAGATGTAAACTTAAATTTCTAAGAAGAACTTATTATAAAATCTCACATTTCTTTATTAATTTTTATTAGAATTATTCATATAGTCATGCTTCTGAACGTTTGGTTGGGATGCAGATAAGTTCTCGGGACAAACAATATGTAAGATTTTTGTTTAATTTAATTTTAACCAAAATAATGATATCGAAAGTAATATTTTATAATTTTGATGAAAAAGTTTTATTTTCAGAAAAGAAGGAAACCGTTAAACCACACTTCCTCTCCAACGGAAGTTGAACATCCTCTCTCTCTTATCTTTAAAAATTTAGTCACCAAACTGAAAGTCAACCCCTCTGAATTTCCCCACTCATCCTGTTCACATGGAAAAATACTACACGCTAATTGGAAGAAATCAGCGAAAATAGAATTCTTTCTTATTATTCGGGGAGTGCGCCAAAACTTCTCAAAGTGGGACGTATTCCATCGAGTTTCCCAAAAGCCAACGCCCAAAATCTACGAAAGATCAATCATCATTTCTACAAGCTGCAAGCCGTTTTATCAAGTGCCATCCTAAATTCCCAAGAATGAAGTAAGACACCAGATCTTTTTGATGTCTAATATTCACCCTTTTTCCTACTCGACGTACTTATGTTCCTCGTACCCAAAATTCCGTGGTTACGTGTTAATCCGGGTTAAAATACGATTAACTGGTGTCGGGAATCCTGACGGGAGACGCGATTGTGAAATCATTGTCTCCACCTTTCTACTAGCAACTTAAGTCCCTCCACACTCGATACTTTCTTGTAGAAAAGCTAGAACTGATCTAACGATTAGTTGCCGATTAAGTGGGATACTATCTCTGTACCCCCGGCTAAATCTCACAAATATATTTTTCAAATAAGATTGAGCATCCGAACTACACAGAAGAATCCTCTCAAAATGACACTGCACTGTTAATAATACAAAATGATACTTCTGAATTCGGTAATTTAAATTTCTACCAAATGTCCAACCAATTTCTTTGCCAATTAACAATAATAGCATACACTTTTGAAAGAGCATTAATGGTTGGGTGGGGTAGAATTGGACGAGCTAAGTACACATTTGAATTTTCAATCATGTTTCAATGATGATAAGATTTATATGTAAAATAAACAGAAGCAGTATACATTATTTAAGCTGCCAATATTTTAATTTTGTAAATTTTGTCATAAATTGCATAGTTAGATTTATGGAATTTCAGTGTTTATGTGACAAAATATCATTTTCTTCGATTTCATTCTCTTCTATATCAATTTCAGCACTTTTCTCTTCTTTTAAGTAATTTTGATGATTGCTTACTACGCAAAAATCTGTTGTTTCAGTGTCATGGGACAACAAATGTTTCAAATTAAACAGAACGTTTAGTTTTTTAATTTTTTACCCTTTTCCTAAAAAGTTAAAAATTTTAAAAATACTTAAATTTTAATTACATTTAATAATCGTAAACTGTGAGACATTCGCAACAAAACTAATGAAAATGGGCGATTCTAGCCCGATTTTAAAGCGAGATATCTCAATTTATTATTACACTGAGCGAAGTCTTATACGCTGCGAGAAATCGCGTTTGTCCACGCGAGAAATAACAGCGACAAAAACTTTTCAAAATTAATTACGCTAAAACAAATTGCGCTAATTGTACAATTTTTGCTTCTTGCTTAACTATTTCNTTAAACCACACTTCCTCTCCAACGGAAGTTGAACATCCTCTCTCTCTTATCTTTAAAAATTTAGTCACCAAACTGAAAGTCAACCCCTCTGAATTTCCCCACTCATCCTGTTCACATGGAAAAATACTACACGCTAATTGGAAGAAATCAGCGAAAATAGAATTCTTTCTTATTATTCGGGGAGTGCGCCAAAACTTCTCAAAGTAGGACGTATTCCATCGAGTTTCCCAAAAGCCAACGCCCAAAATCTACGAAAGATCAGTCATCATTTCTACAAGCTGCAAGCCGTTTTATCAAGTGCCATCCTAAATTCCCAAGAATGAAGAAGTAAGACACCAGATCTTTTTGATGTCTAATATTCACCCTTTTTCCTACTCGACGTACTTACGTTCCTCGTACCCAAAATTCCGTGGTTACGTGTTAATCCGGGTTAAAATACGATTAACTGGTGTCGGGAATCCTGACGGGAGACGCGATTGTGAAATCATTGTCTCCACCTTTCTACTAGCAACTTAAGTCCCTCCACACTCGATACTTTCTTGTAGAAAAGCTAGAACTGATCTGACGATTAGTTGCCGATTAAGTGGGATACTATCTCTGTACCCCCGGCTAAATCTCACAAATATATTTTTCAAATAAGATTGAGCATCCGAACTACACAGAAGAATCCTCTCAAAACGACACTGCACTGTTAATAATACAAAATGATACTTCTGAATTCGGTAATTTAAATTTCTACCAAATGTCCAACCAATTGCTTTGCCAAGTAACAATAATAGCATACACTTTTGAAAGAGCATTAATGGTTGGGTGGGGTAGAATTGGACGAGCTAAGTACACATTTGAATTTTCCATCATGTTTCAATGATGATAAGATTTATATGTAAAATAAACAGAAGCAGTATACATTATTTAAGCTGCCAATATTTTAATTTTGTAAATTTTGTCATAAATTGCATAGTTAGATTTATGGAATTTCAGTGTTTCTGTGACAAAATATCATTTTCTTCGATTTCATTCTCTTCTATATCAATTTCAGCACTTTTCTCTTCTTTTAAGTAATTTTGATGATTGCTTACTACGCAAAAATCTGTTGTTTCAGTGTCATGGGACAACAAATGTTTCAAATTAAACAGAACGTTTAGTTTTTTAATTTTTTACCCTTTTCCTAAAAAGTTAAAAATTTTAAAAATACTTAAATTTTAATTACATTTAATAATCGTAAACTGTGAGACATTCGCAACAAAACTAATGAAAATGGGCGATTCTAGCCCGATTTTAAAGCGAGATATCTCAATTTATTATTACACTGAGCGAAGTCTTATACGCTGCGAGAAATCGCGTTTGTCCACGCGAGAAATAACAGCGACAAAAATTTTTCAAAATTAATTACGCTAAAACAAATTGCGCTAATTGTACAATTTTTGCTTCTTGCTTAACTATTTCATTTAGGTATTGTTGCAAATGCATTTTTTTTAATGAAATTTCGAAAATATTTTTAGTTATAGATAAAAGAATTTACGCATTCGACATCATGTCGTAAATTGCCGAATTTTTTATGGTCCACCCTGTATTCTTTTGGTTGCTTCATTTCATGCACAGAAAACATTTGTGACCGTAGGGTCGGTGTCTCGTTGACACCACGTCAGGAGACCTAAATCTGACACCACCGAGTCTCTGGGGGACTCGGAAATCGCGACGTTACGTCACGCGAGCGGTAGCGTGTGAGCGCTTGGATTCGGAGCAGAGGTGAGGAGAGAGAAGAGGAAGTGACTCACTCGAACTCCATATTTTCTAACAAATAACAATTTTAATAAAAACTAAAGGAAATACAGATATTTTCTATTTCTAGCCCCCTGATTATACTATTCCGTTCGAGAGAGAGAGTTTACACGCAAATCGCGGGTTGATAAATACCTTGCTTCTGGGTCGAAAAATCTGTGGTCACGCCGATGATGATACGCCGATGATGATACGCCGATGGAAAGTTCAATCTACTGGTTCTGGATCTTGTCCGTTCACTGGGGTGGAGGCACGGAGGTGTGGAGATGTTATTCTTAAACAGGCACGATCTTTTTCTCTCAGTGTTAANGCTTCAAATGCTACCACTCTTATGCGACACATTGATCAACGCGAGTGTGGTCATGTGCGGACGGCGTACGACTCTATCTCATAAACTCTTAAGTTATAAGGCTGCGGTGAATTGAGGTGAGGTGAAATTGGAATTTATGTCTGAAGAGCCGCAAACATCTACGCAAAGAGCCGCATGCGACTCGCGAGCCGCTAATTCCAACCCCTGCCCTATGCTATAAGCACTTATAGATACAAAGGCTTACTTCATAGACATAAATATTCTCAAAGTCCGAGAACTTTAGAAGGAAAGTAAAGGCGTCAAATACAGAAGAAGATAAGGTCAACGAACAAGTTGTATGTTTATCTTTGAATTGTGAGCTCTCTCTCTCTCTCGACCTTGTATAAGTTAAGAGAATCCATCTCTTTCGACGCGTATAGTATTAGTCGAATTCATTATCCCTCATTCATTTGTAATTCCATTTGTGTATAGTTTTACTTATATATATGTGTTTATTTAATTTCTTTTATCATCATTTAATATAATGTCTCGTCGATCTCTGAATCAGACCCCTCACGCGTGTTAATCCGCGTATCCAAATTCGATTAACTGGTGTCTAGGAATCCTGACTTGGATAAAGACTTCGCCGTCTAGATCCTATCCAATATTTAACAGCCCTCCTATAAAAAGGTTTAAAGATCGGATCTCACGATTCGAAACTTTAGAGAACTATTCACACGGAATAGGCCGAGTAAGTGGCACCCTTTAGCAGGTACTCCGGGCTATCTCACACTAAGGATAATACTTTTATTTTTAGAAATTATATTTTTTATTAATAAAAAATTACGAAAAATTTACTTAAAAAAATAATAACAAGCAAAAGCGATCATTCCAGTAAAAAATAATCCTGAATTAGTTAAAGTTAAAATTTTTTGGAAATCTGTGTTTTCATTTCCATAATTATATATATTTTTTGTATAAATTATTTGAGTTGGAACCTGCAAAAAAAATTAAAAACAGTATTTAATAAAATTTTAAATATATTCCCATTTTAAAAAGATTACATACGCTTTCTTCGGAACTTTCTTGATCGTCTGAATTTTCTTGTTGTCCTATAATTATTTCGATATGTCGCAACAAATGTCTTTGATAATTTGAATGAAAATTAAAAATTTTGGAACAAAACTAATAATAAGTAATAAGTGTCTTTGGTAGACTGAGCGATAATTAAAGGTTTGATGACACAGATGACATTCGTACATGATCTGTTAAAGTTAAAAAAATAATTTAGTAACTTAAATTTTCTATAAAAACATGAATTTCAGTGATATGTTAAAATCTTATGGTAAAATGTATAATATGTACTGATTATAGTAACATAACTACTATAATTCTGACCCGAGATTAAAATTGAAAATTTCTTCAACTTTTAATAAAACACTTTGCCAAATTACAAATGTATTTCTACATAATAAATAAAGATTTTACTTACGAATAAAAATTAAAAGTGAAAATTTTCACAATTTTGATAAATAATTAATTGAAAACAATGATAAAAGGAATAGTGTTATGCTTTTATTGTTACTTAACCACTTGACGTACGAATTATTAAAAAGAATGGCTTCAAATGAAAAAAATCCTTTATTATTATTCAAAAGAAAACATCTATTTTATCTGGAAAAAAATTTTCGATTTTTTTTCAATTTGTTAAAATTGGTTCCTAAATGGCATCTTCTCCTTTGGATAGCCAACTTTACAGGGGCTCCCTGCGATTCGGCTTCTCTATACTATTATTAGTTTTGCCGAGAAGCTGCCATTCGTCGGTTAGCGATAAAATAATTTAAAAAGTTAACCACAAAATATATAATGAAGGTAATGTAAAAAATGAAATGAAGTTCGTAGCTATCTAAGCTTTGATTTGCTTTCTTGTATTTGTCTCAACCAATAAATGTTTTCTCACCACCCCAGGAAATAAATATTCCGGGAAAGTCCGTCTCTTACCATTGTAAAGCAATTAGCGGCAAGAAGACAGATTATTGGCTGATAAAATCAATAGTAATCTTTTTAGAACTGTAATTGGTTTATTTCTGTATTTGTTGAGATATTATTTCGACGAATCACCAACCTTTGAAAACACAAACTAAAATTACAGCTAAATGCCACGCTTATCGAGCTACGATTGTGAAAATATGTAAACAGTCGCTATAAAATGGTTTGTTTTTTATCTACGATTTGCTAAAGAAAAGATTTGACTGTATTTAGACGAGTAAAAGTGTTTTCAAAATCGTTTAGCAATAAATATTTCCGGAAAACTCCTCCTTACTATAGGAAGTGTAAGGAAAATTTTCTTGATGTCAATTGGCTTTCAAGTTCTTGTTTGTACGCCTTTTACGCTCTAATTTGTAATTTTTATTATAACTGAACCGATATTAACCAATGTGTGTTTTTGTAGAACTGTTCGTTCAGGATTTTCCTGAGAGGAACCAAATGGCTTTCAAAGTCACATGATCAGAGTAAGAATTTAAACAAACGTTGAAAAAAGTTATTTTCATCACTTCTACCTGTAATTTCGATAGGTTTCATGTTATTTGAATGTACAGGCAGAAAAGAGGGGTTCCGATGGGAAGTCCCCTGACTGAAATTCTTTGCGAGTTAGTAGTTAGAAGATTAGAAAGAGGAGTTCTACGAAATTTTGAGGAAGATATCATACATTTCGTTAGATATGTAGACGACATTTTTATATTATGGAGAAATGATAGCAGGATACATGAATTTTTGAATAGAATCAATAATAACAAAGATGGTCTTAGGTTAAAATTAGAACAAAAAAGTTCCTTGAATGTGCACTTCTTGGATATTAATATCAAGTTCATGGGAGATCATTTGTCCACCAGCGTATATATTA